ATCTTTTTGTTGTTGAAGTGCTGAAGTATTTTATAGATTAGATCCTTGTTGGATATGTCATAGCCAAAATTTTTTTCCTGTTCTGTGAGTTCTTTTTACTCTTTTGGTGAAGTCTTTTGACAAGCTGAAGTGTTTAATTTTTAAGAGGTCCCAGTTATCTATTTTATTTTTTGGTGTTTGTGCATTGTTAGTTATGGTGTGTATTCCACCATATATTAGGGCCCCTAGCATTGTCCCTATTTTTTCTTCCATGATCTTTATAGTTTTAGGTTGTATGTTTAGGTCTTTGATCCACTTTTAGTTTTTGTGTATGGTATGAGGTATCGATCCTGTTTCATTTTTTTTACATATGGACTTCCAGTTTTGCCACTACCTTTTGTTAAAAAGACTGTCTTTTCTCCATTTAATGGACTTTGGCCCTGTGTCAACGATCAGCTGACCATAAGTGGATGGATTTACATGTGGGTTCTCGATTCTGCTCCATCGATCTATACATCTGTCATTGTACCAATACCAGGTTGTTTTGACTACTGTTGCTGTATCTTTTCAAAGAATCCACTTTTGGTCCTGTTGATTCTTTCTATTGTTTTTCTGTTCTTTATTTATTTCTACTCTAATCTTTATTATTTCTTTTCTTCTGGTGAGTGTGGGCTTCTTTCGCTGTTCTAGTCTATTTGTTCGAGTTGTAGGGCTAACACTTTGATTTTGGCCCTTTCTCGTTTTTTGATGTGTTTATTGCTATAAACTGATCTCTGAGCACTGCCGTTGCTGTGTCTCAAAGGTTTTGGTATGATGTATTTTCATTCTCATTTGATTCTAGGAATTTTTTTATTCCATCTGTGATTTCTTCTATTACCCAGTTGTTTTTAAGCAAGGTTTTCCATTTCTATGTATTTTATTTTTTTCTCCTGTGCTTTTCATGTTATTTACTTCCACTTTTATGGTGTTGTGAACAGAGAATGCTTTGTATTATCTCAACTTTTTGTATTTTGTATTTTGTTGAGGGTTGCTTTATTGCCTAAAATGTGGTCTATTCTAAAGAATGTTGCATGTACATTGGAAAAGAATGTGTACTTTACTGCTGTTGGGTGTAGTGTTCTGTATATATCTGTGAGGTCAAGTTGGTTGACTGTGGACTTTAGATCTTCTGTATCTTTGTTGAGTTTCTTTCTAGATATTCTGTCCTTTAGCAAGAGTGGTGTGTCGAAGTCTCCTACTATTATTGTGGAACTGTCTCTCTTTTCAGTGCTGTTTGAGTTTGTTTTACGTATTTTGGAGCCCTGTCATTGGATGTGTAGGTATTTATTAAGGTTATGTCTTCTTGGTAGATTGTCCCTTTAATCATTATATAATGTCTTCCCTTGTCTTTTATGGTGGATTTTGCCTAAAGTCTATTTTATCTGAGATCAGTATTGCCACTCCTGCTATTTTTTTCATTACTGTTTGCTTGATATATATTTTTCTATCCTTTGATTTTAATTATTTGTCTTTGTGACTAAGGTGTGTCTCTTACAGAGAGCATGTTGATGGGTTCTGTTTTTTTTATCCATTCTGCCACTCTCTCTTAACGGGTGCATTTACACCATTTACATTCAGTATGATTATTGATACGTAGTTTACTGCTGTCATATTGTTGTGCTTTTTTTTTTTTTTTGGTGATGCTGGCATTTTCTTTGTTCCTCTTATTTTCTTGTGCTGAGTTCCTTTTGTTTGTAGATTTTCTTTCCTTTTTATAAATTTTGTGTTCACTGAGTCTTTATATTTTTATTTTGGTGAAGTAGGTTTGTTAACATTCTTTGCGGTTACCTCGAAATTTACCCTTATCTTCCTAAGTTTGAACCAGTCTTTTATTACTTGATATCATCTTGACTTCCTCTCCATTTGAAAGTTCTATACCTACACTGTTTATTCTCCCTTTTATTGTTTTGACATTGTCGTCACTTACAGACTGATGTCTTTGTTTCCCTGTTTTAAATCTTTTAGCATTGTTTTATTATTGATGTTATTTATTATCTTTACATAGGTTGATATCTGACTGATGCTGTCCTGTGTACCAGACTCAGGTTGCTGTCTGATTTTGTTGGTTCTCTAACTGAAGGACTCCCTTTAATATTTCTTGTAAGTTTGGTTTGGTTTTTACAAATTCCTTTAATTTCTGTTTATCTGGAAATGTCCTAATTTCACCATTGTATTTGAGAGAGAGTTTTGCAGGATACATTATTCTTGGTTGGCAGTTTTCTTCTTTCAAGATTTTACATATGTCACTCCATTGCCTTTTTGCCTGCACAGTTTCTGCCGAGTAATCAGAGCTTAGTCTTACTGTTTCCCCTCTGTATATGACTTTTCGTTTTTCTTGAGCTACCCTCAGGATTCTTTCTTTGTCTTTGGTTTTGGCAAGTGTGATTATATGACTTGGTGACTTTTCTTTTGGGGTCTATCCTACATTGGATTTGTTAAGCTTCTTGGATGGTCAGTTTTTCATCTTTTATGATATTGGGAAGTTTTCTGCCAGCAAATCTTCAACAATCCTGTGTTTTTCATTTTTTCCCTGTTCTGGAACTCCAATCACATACGAATTTTTGCTTGATTGTGTCCCACATAATTCTTAGATTTTCTTCATTCTTCTGATTTTTTCCTCAAACAAAGTGGTGTGAATGGATTTGTCTCTAACTTAGGTGATTCTGCCTTTCATCGTTTCAAATTTGTTCCTAAAACCTTCTATTGAGTTTTTCATTTCTGAAATTTCGTTATTTAATCCTTTGGATTTCTAGTTGCTGTTTTTGTATGATTTCTAATTGTTTATTTATTTTGACATTTTGTTCTTTCCTGAATTCTTCCATCGCTGTGTCTGTGTTTTCCTTGATTTTGGCTCTTCTTGTTGATTCTGTCAATGTTTGCCAGCATTCTATTTCTTCCTTGATCTCTTTCCTAATCTCTTGGAGAGCCCTGAATATTAGACTTTTGAATTCCATATCAGGTAGTTCCAATGCCTTTTCTTCTACTACAAGGTTATCTTGATTCTTTATTTTGGTCACTTACTGGAGCCACCCTGTCTTGCTTTTTTATATGTTTTGATATTGTCTGCTGTCTACAAGACATTAAGGTATTTTTTTTTCCTGTATTTATTGATTGTATATTTGTTTGTTTTGACCTTCTTTTTGTTGTTTTGGTATGCCAGGGTGGGCAGGCTGGACATGCTCTGCTGCATGCTCATCTGTAGGCACAGCTCTCACCACCTTGTCTGAGCGGGCAGGGCAGCAGCAGGCAGCATGAGCCTGCTTTGCTGTACGCTGGTTTGGCAAGTTGGATGAGGGCAGACTGGGTGGGTGCTGTCCACCTGCTGATGTTGGTCAGTGGTATGGGAACACTGACAGCCCCTCGTCAGATGGGTGGGGGTGCTGGATGGGGAGTTATATGGTACCATTATGCAGCTGGTTGAATGACAAGGGGCAAGCCCAATACGGGCCCAGTGTGGCAGCGGGTTGGAGAGCTGGAGGTGCTCTAGCCATGTTGGTGCGTTGGGGGTCAGCGGGAAGAGGGGGAGGTGGCATATAGAGTAGAAGGGTGAAGTGTTGCAAAGCATGTCTCTCTGGTTACTGGGTTGTTCTGTCTCCTGCTGGGGGCTCTAGAAGTTGCCTTCCTGTACTCCTAGTCCAGGATCGCTGCTGGCTGAGTTTCAAGATGGCCACAGAGGGGCAGGGCTGGTGGAAGGGGAGGAGTACAGTGCTGGCTTACTCAGCTGCAGTGCAGCTGTGCAGGGCTGACAGGAAAGGCGAGGCACTGGGCCTGGTCACTCAGCTGCAGCACAGTGGGGTGGGGCTGGTGGGGATGGAGGGGTGTGGGGCCAGGTCACTCAGCTGTGGTGCAGCGGAACAGGGCCAGTGTGTAGCGGGGGTCATGGGGCAGGATGCTCAGCTGCAGTGCGCTGGATGGGCCCAGCAGGCAGGGAGGGGCATGGTGCCTGGTCGTTCTACTGTGACACAGCTGAATGGAGCTGGAGGGAAGGGAGGGGCGTGGGACCTTGCTGTTCAGCTATAGTGCAGTGGGGCATGGCCAGGGGCAAGGGAGAGGCAGACGGGGGTGAGGGGGTGGGGGACAATAGGGGGCGTTTGTACTCTGGTCAGTGGTAGTGAGGGGGCTGCTGGGATAGGGCGGTTTGTGCCACTACTCACCAAAAGGGTAGGGGTTGGATGAGCATGCTCCTCTGGTCACTGGGTGAGAGTGTCTGGGCACTTCCTTGAGCTGCAGCCAGCAAACAGGACCTTACTTCACTCTAGGTGTGTGTGTGTACGGTTTATCTCCTACTGGGAGTTCTGTGAAGATGCCTTTCTGTGCTCCTCATGTGAGATTGCTGGCTTTGTCTCAAGATGGCTGCAGTGTATCATGCTAGCTGGCAGGTATCCTTCGCTCCGTATCTCTACTCACTTGCTGTTTTCGATCACTTTCTTCTTCTTAGTGGCTTCTGAGGTAATACTTCATTCCATCATTTAACGTTCAGGGTTCTAGGATTGACTTCTGTGACTGTTCTACTTGATTTTTTCAGTGGTTGTTGCAGAAGCATGGCTTGGTGAGTCTGATTAGTCCGCCATCTTGGGTCTGCCCCCTGTAAACCATTTCTTAATACATTAGGTTCAAATGTACCTTTGCTAGTCCTTAGTGTAGTAAAATCTGAGTGGTTCACAAAATTTGTTATGAGTGGAATTTAAAAATGCTTATTTATTGGCATGCCAAATGAAATGTAAGGAGGAGTGTACTACTTGCTATACCTATAACGCAAGGAACACCCAGAAAGTTCTTTCTTGGGGGAAATAACTTTCAGAAAAGGCCATGGTATTATTTATTGTATATAATTTTATAAATAAAATCAATGTTTTTATGACTATTCTGTGGGGATCTAGAACTATTCTTATTCTATAAAACCCTATATGTGGCCAAAGAGTGCTAAATAAGAAAATCCATAGAACATTAGTTTACAAGCAGTTATTTAAAAGTGATTTTACCTTGTCTTGCAGTATATTCATTGTCTTCAATTAACCTTGCTAAACCAAAATCTGCTATTTTGCACACAAGATTTTCTCCTACAAGAATATTAGCAGCCCGAAGGTCTCGGTGAATATAGTTCATTCTTTCAATATATGCCATACCATCTGCAATCTTGGAAAAAGAAAAAAAAGTACCAAGAAAAACAAGGAAAAGACAATTTTAGTTAATGTTAAGTCAGGTTACCGAAAAATCCTGTATCTTGAAAGGAGATGATGGTAAAAGGGCATAGTCTCTAACAGATAATGGAAGAAACAGTAAACATTGTAATAAAAAAAAAAAAAAAAAACAGAGAAAAGGGTAAATTCAGATTTCAAACACTGAAAGGCCAAGATTTTCAACCATTCAGCACATCCAGTCACCGTGAGCAGCATAATGAACTAGTGTCTTCTTTTGTCAGTAGTTAAGAGGTAAGCCACGGGGTTATTTAGGGCCTCTGGACATAGGCCAACAACGTCCATATCGGGCACTGATCTAAGGTGTCCTGGTGATAAACACCTTAACCACAGAATAGGGGTCAGCAAACTATAGCTTGATAGGCAAATCTGGCCTGCAGCTTGTTTTTGTATGGGCTGGAACTAAAAGTGATTTTTACATTTTTAAAGAACGAAGGAAGACGATGAGAGCTGGAAGAAAAATAATGAAGGAAGAAGAAAGAAGAATGGAGGATGAAATAAGGAAAAGAAGAATTAACAATTAATAATAATATACAACAGAACTGTTTGTGACCACAAAGCCTGAAGTATTTATCTGGCCCTTTACAAAACCAGTGTGCAACCTCTACCACAGAGTGTCTAACAGTCTTGAACTCAGGAGCATGAACCAGGCCTAGCATATGCTAAAGTCTCATAAGCATAGTTTCTCAGTATAAAGTTTCTCTAAACTGGCAGATTCTGTGGATTTTGGACGCCTACTGACAGGCAAGCATCCTAGAACCAACATGTCAACCAAAGCCAATAAAAATCCTCTCAAATACCTATCATAGAATAGAAACTTTTAATAGTTTTCACTTTCTATTTAAAAACAAAAATTCAGAAAAGTAAAAATACCCCACTCATCAATTTTTAATTATATATTGTCATCTTAATTCTTGTTTTAGACTATATATTAAATTAAAAAATTCAGCATACACTTTAGATTTCCAATATTTTCTTTTCAATAACAATCACTCATTTTCTTAAAATTTATCTGTTGAAATATAAATACATTTACATTTTAGATATATACGTTTTCTGAAAGGCCATATAATATAGGGAAGCACTGAACTGGGAGTTATATGTCTGGTTCTAATATTACTTCTGCTACTAACAAGTTATGTGACTTTTAGATACCTCTGCTTTTCAGATACTGTTATCTAACAGAGGGAAATCAAATGTTCCATTTTTAAAATTCTATGATTTTGCTATATAAACTATAATATTCTGCTAAGATTATTCCACATTTTTAATGTAAACTTTTAATTCAAATTGATTGATGTACATATAGAAGTACCTGAGCAGCCATATCAACCAGCTGTGGGAGCTTCAAATACTTTCCATCTCCCTCCTTAAGGAAATCTAATAAGCTCCCTGTAAGAGAGAGCAAGATATTCATGGAAAACAAGCAAATCTTAAATTAGGATTAAAACAAATTATCTCCCACCCCCAAATAAATCACCAAACCATAACACAAAACATTTTAACTTTCACTCTTTAATAATTTTTGCAGGTTGGAATGTCTGAATAATCATCTTTCAAGATCTTAAAAGAGGTCCCTAACAATTTTTCAAACATCTCCTGATAATATATAAAAAAAGGAAAAATGTGGTAACTTCATCAGATTAGAGGCATTCTTTCTTTGCTCTGATCAAGATCAGTAGTCCCAATTTTGATCCAAAAAGTAGTATTAGATACTTATATATTTTAAAGTCAATCTGAATCAAGAGTTCAGATAATGGGAATATTTTGGGGTAGAAAAAACTAAATCTAGATGGTTAAATGAGTTGCCGTGAAAGTGCTGGCCCGACCAACTTCTCTCAAGTTCAGACACCATGGAACAGCCAAGCATTAAAAATAACAAAGAAACAGTAGAAAAGTCTGGTTGCTTCTCTTCTAATAGTGGTTAAAAACTTACCATTTACCTGAATTTAATCAAGAGAAAACATCAGACAAAAATAAAGGCACATTTTATAAAATTACTGCACTGTTCCCTTAAAAAGTAAGAATGTTACAAAAGACAAAAAAAAAAAAAAAAAAAAAAAAAACCACAACTGAGGAACTCCTCCAGATTAAAGGAGACTAAAGAAAGATGACACCTAAACACAATTCATGACCATGGATTGGAAACAAGATCAGAGAAAACACCGTGATAATTAAGAACATCATTGGCACAATAGGTGAAATCTGAATATGGACTGTGTATTAGGTAACAGAATTATATTCATGTTACATTTTCTGAATTTGATCATTGTACTGTGGTTAATAAAGACAATGCCCTCGCCTTTATGAAAGATACAATGAAGTATTTAGGGGTAAAAGGAGCATGATGTCTGCAATGCAGTCTCAAGTAGTTCAGGGAAAAACCATCATATCTTATATACTGACAGATATAAAGAATTGGTAAATCTGGATGAAAGGTAAACAGGAGTTCTTTGTATTATTTTTGTAACTTTTCTATAAGGTTAAAATTATTTCAAAATAAAAGTAAAAAAAAAACCACTTTTCTTTCCATGTTGACAGAATAATGCTCTATTCTGCTCATTTATAGAGATTCCTAGTCAGAGAATATCTGTATTTCTTCTAGTCTGTCTACCTACCCCAGGGAAACATGTTATTGCATTTGTCCACTTACTTGCCTATTCATTTACTGAGGTCTGCCATGTGTGAGGCATTGTAAAAGGTGCAGAAGATACAAAGTAACTAAGACAAGGTCCCTGTCCTTGAAAAGACTGTATAGTAGGTATTCTAGAAGAGTTACAGTGGTGACACAATCAATGTGGTTAACTCTATGAAGAAGTCAGAAAAGGCTTCATAGAGGAGATGCACCTTAAAGGAAGAATGGGGGTAGACAGGGAATTCCAGGAAGACAGAGCAACAAGTACAAAGGCAGTAACGCATGTAAATTCCAGGAGCTGAAGGCAGTCCCACTAACACAGGAACACAGGGTACATAGATGGGAACTGATGAGAATGAGGCTGGAGAGGAAGGAAAGAGAACACAGACAACAGTGCGTAAATGGACTTTATCCTCTATGTTCTGTTAGGTGCCACTGAGTTGGTTCCAACTCATAGCAACCCTATATACAACAGAACGAACACTGCCTGGTCCTGCACCATCCTCACAATTGTTGCTATGCTTGAGCCCATTGTTGTAGCACTGTGGCAATCCATCTCGCTGTAGGTCTTCCTCTTTTTTGATGACCCTCTAGTTTACCAAGCATGATGTCCTTCTCCAGGGACTGATCCCTTCTGATAACATGCCCAAAGTAAGTGAGACAAATCCTCGCCATCCTCACTTTTAAGAAGCATTCTGGCTGTACTTCTTCCAACACAGATTTGTTTGCTCTTCTGGCAGTCCATGGTATATTTAATATTCTTTGCCAACACCATAATTCAAAGGCATCAGTTCTTCTGCAGTCTTCCTTATTCATTATCCAGTTTTTGCATGCATATGAGGTGACTGAAAATACCATAGCTTAGGTCAGGTGCACCTTAGTCCTCAAACTGATATCTCTGCTTTTTAACACTTTAAAGAGGTCTTTTGCAGCAGGTTTGCCCAATGAAATATGTTGTTGGATTTCTTGACTGCTGCTTCCATGGGCGTTGATTGTGGATCCAAGTAAAATGAAATCCTTGACAACTTCAATCTTTTCTCCATTTCTCATGATGTTGCTTATTGGTCCAGCTGCGAGGATTTTTGTTTTATGTTGAGGTGTGATCCATACAGAAGGCTGTAGTCTTTGATCTTCATCAGTAAGTGCTTCAAGTCCTCCTCACTTTCAGCAAGCAAGGTTGTGTTATCTGCGTATTGCAGGTTGTTAATGAGTCCTCCTCCAATCCTGATGTCACGTTCTTCTTCTTATAGTCCAACTTCTCAAATTATTTGTTTAGCATACAGACTAGGTAAGTAAGGGTACAACCCTGACACACACCTTTTCTGATTTTAAACCATGCAGTATCCCCTTGTTCTGTTCGAACGATTGTCTCTTGACCTATGTACAGGTTACTCAAGAGCACAATTAAAGTGTTCTGGAATTCTCATTCTTCACAATGTTATCCATAATCTGTTATGATCCACACAGTCGAAAGCATTTGCATAGTCAATAAAATGCAGGAAAACATCTTTCTGGTATTCTCTGCTTTCAGAAGCAATATGATCTGATTTATGTTGAGAAAGCAATCAATCTAACAGTAATTTGAGGAGTGAAATTGGGGTAGTATGTCAAAACTACACAAAAGGAATACTAAGTTAAAGTTCCTGCAGTAGTCTTCCTACTGTGGTCAAGTTGATTCTGACCCATGACAACCCCATGTGTTACAGAGTAGAACCACTCCACAGAATTTTCTTGGCTGTAATCTTTATGGAAACAGATTGGCAGGCCTTTCTTCCATGGCACTGCGGGGTGGGTTCGAATTGCCAATCTTTAGGTAACTAGTGAAGTACAAATCGTGTGCACCACCCAGGGACCTCTAGAAGAGACTATTACGCCTAAAATATAGCAATGACAGTGGGGATGGAGAGAGAGATTAAAAATCCAGGGAGATTTAATAAATGGAATCAATAGAACTCAATGGATTATTACATAAGAGGTAGTGATATGAAGGAGTCGCTGATGATGACTCCTAATTTCTGTCTTGAGAGTTCAGGTGGAGAGTATATGATTAACAAGAAAGGGATATAGAGGATGGTGGGCTGGGGGAGGTGGTGGCTATCAGAAGATGAAGAATCCAGTTTTGTTGACTCTGAAGTATCTGTGGGACATCCAGGTGAAAAAGTCTAGAAGGTATTAAGATTTGAATATATGGGTCAGAAGAGAGGGTAAGATTGAAGACATCACCAAATAGGCTGAAAAGCAAAGCTATAGAAGTGAATGAGGTCACCCAGGCTGAGTATGCAGATTAAGAAGAGATGAGGCCCAGGAAGGAATCCTGAGGAAACAGATGCATTCAAGGGGTGGGTAGAAAGAATCAACAAAGGTAACAGAGTATGAAGATCCAGAAAGCAGGAAAAGTGAAGAGAGGGGTATCCTTGAAACTGAGGATGTAAAAAGTTTAAAGAAGAAATGAAAATTACCCATCTAATTTAGCAGTTAGGGAGCTCTGGTGGTACAGTGGTTAAGTGCTTGGCTGCTAACCAAAAGGTCAACAGTTCAAAACCACCAGCTGCTCTGTAGTACAAAGATGTGGCAGTCTGTTTCCTAAGATTTACAGCCTTGGAAACCCTATAGGACATCATACTATGTACTGTAGGGTCACTATGTGTCAGAATTTGACTCAATGGCACTGGGTTTGGTTTTTTAGTAGTTTAGCAATTAGTTGACAATGGACGATCTTCGCCAAAATGGTTTCACTGGAATCCTGTGTTAAAGAGCAAACAGAACAAACAACTCCTAGAAAACAATAAGAAAAAGACTAGCAACCTAAAAGAAAAAATAATAGACTAATAGACATTTAGAGGCAATTCACAAGAAAACCTGAACAGCCAATAAATATGAGAAGATGCTCAACAAATAATTAGGAAAAAACAAAGTAAATGAAATATGAGATGACACCATCAGACTGGCAAAACTTAAAAGATCTAATCATATCAAGTGTTACATGGAAGTGGAAAAATAGGAATTCTCAAATATGCTAGTGGAAGGGCTAATCAGTAACGCCCATGTTGGAGAACACTATGGCAATACCTTTAGAACAAAACTGAAGATGTGAGTAGCCAGGAACCTACTATCCCACTTTTAAGTATATTCCTACTGGTTTTCAAACTTTAGGAGGCAACACGATCACCTGGGGGAGTTTCTGAAATTCTTCCCCAAACAGTTTCTTACATCCATTTATCAATGAATGTTTTTTGGACCCTATCTTCCTATTCATAGATTAGTAAGTAATACAACAGCCTCTAACCTGAACTGGATTCCTCTTTTATTCCTCCTTAATTTTTTTTAGTTCATAGATCCTGTCGAGAATCTGATGAAAACTATAGACTCTCTTTCCAGAAAAACATACATAAACACGTAAAAATTTACACGTAACTTTAGAGGAAGTCCATGGACCCTCTGAAGCACATCCATGTGCCTGGTAGAAGGTAGGTACTCAAAATAAGTAACAGTGAAATCAATTCAAAGCTGTCCTCAAGCTGGTCTCACACACCTCTCTTGCCTCACTGCCAGCTACTTACCTTTTGTATTTTCCACTCTTTCCAAACTGGTTTACTTACTCTGTTTCAAGCAGGTTTTATATATGCTTTCTGTCATGTATGCTTTTGTTTACCCTCTTCTCATATACTCCTAGCTCTGGGGAAATACCCTTTCTCTTCCTTTACCCAACCATACCCTTTATAACCATAAAGTCCAGTTCAAGACGTGCCTTTCCCAC